TATATTAGTGTTATATTATATTTATCTATATTGTTGCTGAAAAGCCTTGTAAAAAGGAGCCTCAATAAATGTATGTATGTATGTATGTATGTATGATGACGATCCCCCCCAGAGCAGATGACGGAATTTAACGTCGTTGTAAATCGCCCATTTTACTCCTATCAGTTAACGATTAATTACCACGGCTACTGAATACTACACCTCCATTCTGCAAAGTCTTGCTTCGATGAAATACTTACTGCCGTAGCACAGTCACAACTTCATTCTTCATTGAGAGGAACGAAAGAAAAAAATTCAAAAGTTTATGGGAATTTGATTGTTACGCTAAAAGGGAAAACGTAGCGCGCACTTAAGAGTAAACCGCACAACAGGGAATGAAGATCTTTCTAAAAATCCTCCAATACAACAATGATAATCTTATATATTAAATATTAACTCTTTAATTAAGTTTTTAAAGTAGAGGATATTCTAACTATAGAATATTATGTTGTTAGATGTTTAAATTATTTGAGAGCGAATTTTACTACAGCTTTCCTCACATTCTAGACATGATATCTTAGAAGCACCAAGTCTTGATCTCTGTGAGTAGGAGTTGATTTTTATTGCACTTCCTAATAAAATAGAGTCATCGTAATAAGCTCTATGATTGATAAACTAGGCGATAAGTACATTTATTTATAACGTGCTTCTAGCTACAAAGTAATGACAGGATTTGATTATTGATCTTCTAAAATTGGCTTGCAATTTTCGCTCAACGCGGGCTGTTGTATTCTAACCTCCACGATTTGAACTATTTACCAACAATGTAGAATTTCGAAACCTTGGTTGACATTGTTTTAATCTTATGCTCACAAAAATTATGACTTACGATTTTTTTTAGTAAAAAAACTATATAATCTAAGGGCACTTTGGTTTGCTGTAGGCCTCGTTCTTTCAAACCTTCGATCGAGAAAGCCATGTCTTACAATTTGCCATGTTTTACAACTTTTTTTTAGTGAAGAAAACTATGTAATTTAAGGGCACTTTGATGAGCTGTAGGCCTGAGTGTAGGCTGAGTGTATCATTACGTTCATGAAACAATTTTCAATCTTTTTTCTCTTCTCATTTTTTATTTGTCACAGTTTTTCGTTCTTATCAATAACTCGCCAAAAACCGTCTGGCACAGTCGACTTATTGACACATCTTATTCTTATTCCGTTCAAACCCAAATAATAGCCAATATGCCGGAATATAAARCGTTTAGACAAAATGGTTATTGTCGAAGAAATCAATAAAGACTATTTTTTTATATTAAAATACCTTGTGGACTAAATATCTTTATCTAACAAACACATAAAATGCTGTATTTTTTTTCAGATTTCAACCTTTTTTTTTTGTTTGAAAAAAAGTTAAAAGTTATGGTTTCTCATGCTTCGATAAAACATGACACTTTTAGAAATAAACGTCTCGAATATATAAAAATATATTTGATTAAGAAGCAATATCTTTGCTTATTAAAGAGATTAATCAACACTGTGAAATTAAAAATCATTTTTAACATCAATCAATCTTCCAAATTATTTCCAATTCGTTCAATTCAAATCCGTTTTCCCTCGGGTCTATACTGCATGACTAGAATACGTACTAAGCTGTTTTTAGCATCCCTATTTAGTCTCTAATTTGTTCTTGTTACGTAACAACCCGATTGTTTAATCAAATTTAAGACTGATTTAAGTAAGTTTCCTGACATTAATCTTTTCTGACAGAACCATGGGTTATTCGTTTCTCGTTTCCATTCTTTTTTCATTACCATTCGTTTCCTTTCCTTTCATAACGAACGTCATATGCAATTGATTACTTCCATGGCCGCTAGTGAAACTGAATTGATTATTACCTTTGTCATCTAAATGCAGCTGGTATGACTTAAGTAGGCACGTGTTTATTGTGTGTTTCTGCCTTAACTAGCACGTGCTATTCTTTGATGTTTCAGACTTCGCTACTGCCGCAGAGGACCCTTCTCAAAAGTATCGTGGATTCGAGGCCAACATCAAAACTCAAAAGAAATCACACTTGGTGTAATTGGTACCATTTCTTTTGTATTTTCATGTTAGCATCACACTAAAGTCAATTTGTAGAAGGGTCCATCCAATCAGCTTTTTTTCTCGTAATTGCAAAACTTACAGAACAGAAGAATAATTACATAACCGGAAAAAGCACGTTGAAGTTGCTAAAACTTTAAAGTACGAAGGAAGTAAGTTGAAAAATCGCGAAAATATAAATTTTCAAAAATCGAAATTTCAATGTATGAAGACATTCGTTAGAGGCATCGCTTGCCTCCAGCAAATGTTTTGTTACAAAATTCACACTTTTCAAAAATTGTACCTTCGCAAGTTTTGAAATTACTTCCTTCAAACTTACCATTTTTATTTATTTTGACACGCAATTTACAGCTTTACTAATTATTTTTCTGACTTACTAATTTAAAAATACCAGAGTAAAAGTTTATTGGCTACATCTTACTGAGATTAAGATTTGTT